AATGGTCACTGTGGATTACAGGTTCATGGTAGCCTACATCAACAGGGTTTTAGCCTAGTGCTCAATGAATTAGGGTTCAGGTGTAAATCTCAATTGTTTCAATGTCAAAAGCTTTGGCTTTGTGCAGTAGAAGGTAAATACTTGACCAAGCAGTGCCTCAGTCTGCTCAGTACTTTGCCAAATGGAGTCTGGATGAGAAAGAAACACATCAGTGGGGTTCACTCCATCACTATGCTTAGTCTGGTCCCTGAGTCAGGGCTGAACTGTGTTTCTCAGGTGATTCAAACTGATTCTGAACCAGAATAAGTTCAGAATCAGAAATTATCAATATTATAATCAGAAAGGTTTGTTTTTGCTTAGAAGGAGAAAATTGAAATCTGCATCTGGCATATATCATCCTCAGATGTCAGCCCAGAGATTTGGAAAGATCAGTGTAAGCCCAGTTTTTTTGTTTAATAGGTTTCATTAACTTATATTTATGTTTCAGTGAAAATTATGGTGTTTTGCTTTTTCATATTTCTCTGTGCTTTTCCCCCAAAGAGTCTCTTTTACTGAACATGTGAGCCCTTCTTCAAGTCTAGAAGTTTCAAAGCCACAAATCTTTATATCTAAACAACTGTGTCTGTCAAGGGGGGAGGCAGTTACTGTGCTACAGTTCATTTGTTGGCTGGCAGATATATCTCCTGAAAACAAAGACTTGAGACATGAGCCTGATCCAGCAAAAAATGAAGTGCACTTAAAATTTTAAAGGTTAGCCTGTAAGTGAGAATGGTGTTTGCTGCATGAGACGTGATGTTTTTCTTAGCTTGTACTTGTACCCAGAAGGCATCAGGCAGCCAGTGGCAAAAAATTTGTGAGTTTCTATTCACCCTGATGGGTTTGTACTGATGTAGGTGTCTGTTAGGCTTTGAACAATTTTATATTTGTGTACTTAAAAGTGTAATAGTGAAATATTTAAAGCTGCTTGCAATGTGTGAGGGGGGAAATTTTGGGGCAGAGAGGGGTAAAACCTTGCAAGTGCTTCTACAATGGCACAGATTTGATCGAAGCCAGGCCAGGGAGACATCACTTCTGCCAGTGGCTCTGCTATTGCTTCCCAACATAACCATGATGGACTCACCTCATTTCTGCCCAATTACCTGTATTTACAACATACAAGTTTTCTGTTGCTCAGGGTGGGCCCGAGGATGGGGTTTTTATTACGGGGCTGGCAGTCCGTCCTTGGTGGCTGCAGCGGGTGATGCGGTGGTGCAGGAGCTGCACGGGTGCTGAGGGAAGAGCTCAGGGCTGTGGTTTCACAGCACATTGTGCTGCTGTATCTGAAATAACCGAGCTGGGCATGTGTCTCACTGCTTCTTTGACTCATGGTCTTCACCGCTGTATGAAGGGGGAACGAGTAGCTGGTGCAGCAAGGACTGTTTATTTTCTCTCTTAAAAATATGGAAACAGGTAGAGATTTCTCATTGTAAGAGCTGAAGGGAGGCTGTGTCTTGGTGTGATTTCCTACCTCCATGGAGAAGTAGGAATGGCCTTCCAATGGCAAGTCTCTTCACCTGCCTTGAAGTACAAATTGCTTTCTGGAGGTGCCTTGATACCTCTCTGTTGACAGAACTCAGTGCAGTCACTCTCATAATCTGAAATACATCCAAGTGTTCAGGTTGATGTCAGGTGAAAGTCAACCAAAATGCTGGTCTTGGTGCTGAACAATAATCAATATTAATGAGTCTTTTCCCCATCTTATCCCTTATTCACAGAGGGACAACCTGGTCAAATCAGTAGGAGAAGGTGAGTGCTCAGGGTGGGATGTGTTCTCCACCAGCCCATGGTTAACTGGCGACCCCAGAGCCCCATTCTGCTGGGGCTGCTGGTGCATCCGTGCAGACCAGGGACAGTCCCTTGCCCAGATGGCTCCCACCTTGCTCTTCTGTAACACTGGAGGTGGTCAGCAGTGGGGACAGTGATGTGCTTTGCCTGGACATGGACTTTCCTGCCTCCTCCCATGGCTTGCCCAGCTCTAAGTGAAATCTGACTTGCAAAGCTCTGGAGGTGAGAGAAGGCCCCAGAGGTGCTCTGTAGGGACACTGTGCCTGAAGGGAGTGTCAGCTGGCTTTCAGGTTCTTTTCCTCTTTTGCTCCCTCAAACCTAGACATGTTTCTTCCCCAAATAATCTAGAATCATGTGCTGCTGCAGACACGGATTTACGTCTTTGTATGCTTCCTTCTCTGCCAGAGGGAGAATTCCAGCAATGCCAATAATAATAATAATGCAGGGACAACTTTCCCTTCTGCATCCAAGGGAATATTCTCCCGTGAGTGCAGTGGGAACAGCACTGGGTCCTGTGGCTGTGTGTGGGAAAGAGGAAGGCGCAGTGGCAGAATAAATAACTAAAGCTGTGAAGGAGAAAGGTCCATCTGTTCACAGAGGACCAGGAAAAGGCCAAACATCTGCAAGGTCCCTCCAGTTCATCAGGCATCTGCTCTCTGCTTTCCAGTCTAAAAACCTTCCCACTTGTGGGGAGAGTGGAGCCAGCAGCTTATCTAACACAGGATGGAGTCAGCAGAGCTGGGCTGGGATGTGGTAGAGCCAGCTGTCTCTTACTGCAAAGTGTTTTCTTCCAAACTCTAGGAGAGAGCTCTTGTCCTTTGCTCCTTTTCTGAAAAATCTTGCCGTTGTTTTTTCTTTTTTTTTTTTTTTTTTTCCAAGAGGAGTGGATCTTCCAAAGGGGTAAAAATGGTATTTTGTTTATGTTTGTTCTAACAGTCATTGTTAGATGCAGACTTCTGATTATGCAGAAAATCTGCCCCTTTCCCTGTCTCATCTCCTCCAGCACATTCTCTACCTTGATTTTCCTTAGGTGTTTTGAAGGACTGTAATAAAGCAAGAGTGTCTGAGTAATGTGCTGTGCAGGGAGATCAGTCTTTGGCATCGGAGTCAGGACTGACTGAGAAACATCATCTAAAGCATAATCTTGACAAGTCTGTGTTCGCTGGAGTTGAATTTGTTTGCAAAATCATGTTGGCTTGTTGGAGGGTCATTTACAGAGCAAAGGAGAAAAGTTTAAGAAGCACTTAAATATCCCAGCATTTTTTAGAACTAACCCCTTAGATATTAATTTCAAAATCTCTCTACTTTTCTTTTTATTTTGTATTGTATTTCACATTATTTGAAATAAAAGATTGGATTAATTATAGGGCGATGAGGAGGATACTGCAGATATTATTGGACATAATTTTTAAAAAAATCAATCCTGGATTCTATAATAGCATGAGCCAGTGGGTTTCATGGGATTTTATGTATTGGAGCAACATTATTGTCTTAAATTAGTTTTCAGTGTGTTGTTTTTGAGCTGTCTTTGAGCATCTGTATTTAGGACAATACTTTCTTAGGGATTCAGAAGGGGGTTTTTGAGTCCCATCCATGCTTATTTTGGGGAAAATGGGAAGAAATTACTTTCCTGGTAAATAACATCTCTGAAAGTCCTAGGGGAAGTTTGTGTCTTTCAGAGAGTGATTTGAAATAGAAGAGAAAAACTTTCAAGGGCTGCAGACCCATCTGCTTCCCATGGCAGAGAGCATGAAAGTGTTGTGCTGGCAGTGCTGCCCAGCTGGTGCCGGTGCCTGGTCTGGGCTGAGCCTAAGGCTTTAAACCTGGGTATAGGTGGCCCAGAAGTCTGCAGGTCACAGGGGTTTGGCACAGCACCTTCCTGAGTGGTTTGGAGCCTGCTCCTTGGCATTTAGGGGTGGTGCTGAGGGCCTCTGGCCTGAACGCAGTGTGATGCTGCATGGAGATCTGGAGGGTCAAGTAGGGAGCTCATATTTCCTTCCAAAAGCAACAGTTCCTATATATGTGAGATATCACACTTTTATTAATCTGAAACCTTCCATCCCAGATGCTGCACACACAAGAGCCAACAGCAAACAGCTCTACTTGCAGCATCAATCTTCATAAGAAGAAATAAAATCATACCAAAGTGGTCCAAATTGCAAGCAGCTGCCTTCCCTGGAGATAAATCCAGTGCAAATGGCAAATGCTATTTTTTTCCACCATTAGGAGGTGCTTTCAGAGCTCGGTGTCCTGCTGCCTGCAGCCTGTGCTGCTTTGTCTTTGTTTTCTTTCTCCTTTGGGGTCCCACATTCCATGAAATTTTCAAGCAGAATTTCTTTCTGCTCCCACCTCCCATCTCTACGCTAAGCTGGATGGCTTCACAGCCAGTATTTGCTGTTTTGTCTTCCCATCAGCACTTCTGGAAGATTAACATGAGCAAGTTGTATTCTAGAAATTTTGTACATCAGCCCCCTTGTAAAAATCCAGAGTTAGGAGAGGTGGATTAATGTGTGCTTGCACCTGGCCCGTCATGTAGCTGTTGTCACTGAGAAGAGCCTGTGATCTTCCCAGTGAAGAAGAGCCTGTGATCTTCTTTACATGGAGCTGTGATGTCCCTATAGGAAGAGAAAGATGCAAAGAGTGTGTCTGCTTGCCAGCAGCAGGGATGCAGGAGATGGGCTGGCCTGGATTCTGGGCTGCAGCTCCAGCCTTCCATGTGTCTTCTGCTGCTTTTGGACAGCACCTGATGCTGTCTTTATAGGGATCAAGAGGAGCTAGCCTAGTTTAGCAGAAGAGGGAAGTGAATTGCATGGGATCCATTGCAAGGTTAGACACAGAGTGTTCATTAGTGCAAGTTTTGTGGTTGCCTGTGGTAGTTTGAGATGCGACTTGGATCTGTGGAGCTGCTTGTTGGTGCCTTCAGGCTTTGTGGCACATCGCCTTTTGCTGTGGAATCTGAGCACCCCTAAGCCATTTGCCAGCGTTACTGAGCTGTGTAGCCATTTCCTGAAGCAGTGAGGGGTGAAGCTGAACATTTAATGGTCAAATAATGTGTTATGTCCTGTGCCACAAAACCAATGGGCAGAGCTAAGAGTATTGTGGAGTTCCTCCTGATTATCCACGTCATGATCTGGGGAAATATTGCTGAGTTTAAATTCTCCCATTCTCTCTCCTAGGGGACTTTCTTCCTCCCCCACCCCCTCCTGTGGATGACCTTGGGAACATCACATCATCACAAGGTGCCTTTCCTCCCCCACCCCCTCTGGATGATGTTACTTACAATGTACAGGTAAGAAGACAAGATTTTTATCATTTGTGCAGAACTGATCCAGAAATTGCGGAAATGAATGAATGATAATAAAATGAGGCGGCAAAGTTCTGGTTAAAAATCATGGGTCAGGAATAATGAAGTCAGCTTTAGCAAGCTGTGTTTCCCAAGCAGGGAGTATTTCCATTGAAAACTTGCTGGGCTATTAAAGGATTTTTCCCATCCGGCTTGAATTAGAAGACTAATTGCCTTATGTCGTTGTGATGGCGGATGGGAGTGGAACCTTCCCAGAATGAATTGTTTTCTGGAATGGCCATCTCCTTCCATGGACTGTGGAGAGACTTTAGGGCAGTAATCTGATCCTGAAAGTGCTTTGTTTAGATGCCTAAAATTAAGTGAAGCAAATAAGCCCTGGCCCAGGCTCCAGTGATGTAATTGAGACCCTTTTCACCCTCTTTTTGCTGGCTTGGATCTTCTAGATTGGCCACCTGGATGAAAATGCAACTTCTAAGATGCATCAGGTGATACTGGCATGTCCAAAGTGAATATGGACAGACCTTGAGCACCTTTGCAAGATATGGACATTTTTTGTGCAGGTATTGCAGGTTTGCCTGGAGTGCCAGGTTTATGTTTGCTCAGGCACATTCTGGAGAAATGCATTCAGACTTCTGGGTCAAGGCAGTCAAGGTGATCAAGGAGTGAGGAGCTGATCTTCCCAGTGGGAACCAGAAGAGTTTGTCTTGTTAGCTGAGCAAAAGGAAGGCTGAGGATCAATCTGGTTGCAAATTTGAAATACACTTGGGGAATAAGCCTGTATTTCAGCTCTGTGTGGGTGTTGGTGCATGAGCAGAAGAGGCTGAGCTTGCCAGAAGTAACTCCGTGCTGGTGTTTAGAAATTTTCTAAGCTTTGGGGCTCCAAAGATCTGGAAGAGCCTTCTGTCAGAAGTAATGAGAACAAAGAGAGCATGGTCTAGGTTTGAGGCTGTTGAGAGTCGTGTAAACACATATCCACAGACATGGGGCTGCCCTTGATGGCCCTGGAAGATTGTGGCAGTCCTGTATCCCTTGGTGGGTTTGAACATTAGAGTAGGCCAGCAGGCATTAAACAAGATTCAAAGGACTTGACTTAGTTTCTGACCCTCTCACCAACTCTAGACTCACTTTGTGTGCTTTGTGCCTTTGGAAAAACGAAACATTCCCCTCCCTCCTGGGTTTACTGGGATCTCTTGCCCATGGCAAGGTGTTCAGATGCTATGGCAAAACCTCAGCCTTTCCTGCAATGGGCTCAGTGCTGGAAGCAACCTTTGAGCAGGAAGGAGTTAATGGGGATTGTGTTCTCCCTTGCCAGGAAAGGCTACAGCAGTCAGGGACATTGCCAAGTGCAGAGCATGGCTTTTCCCAGCCTTGGGGGAATGAAGTAATTCCCCAGCAAGTGTTCTGTCTTTTATCTCTCTGAGAAGAGTGGCCCCTGTGGGAGCAGGGGAGCTTCCAGAGCGCCCTGGGAAGCCGTGGAGCAGCAGGCTCCTGGCAGAGGCAGGGCACTGCCTGCATGGTGCCTGCACAGCAGCCTGGGTAGCAGGAAGGTGCCCCACAGCATTCCTCAGGGTCAGGCTTCCCTCTTCCCAGGTCACCCAAGGAGAGGGCCTTGTGTGTTTATTGAAAGGAGCTCGTTCCTGCCATGGCTCCAAAAGTGTCCCTGAGCCACTTGAGGCTGTCACGGGGATGTGCCTCTTGGCAGAACCACTCTGCAGGACAGCTCTTCCCTCTGAACTCATGGAATTGCTATTTGTCACACCCTTTCTCTCTGGCTTTGGGAAACTGGGACTGGAGCTGTGTTCAGTGTTGGGTTTTAGCAAGAGCTTGGTTAGAGCAGGATTCCTTTGCATGGTATCCTGCTCAGAGAAAGTGAGCCCAGCAGTTGTACCTGAGCAGTCCTGCCACCATCCCAGATGTACTCTTATGCAGCAAACAGGACTCCTTGCCTTTCCCTGTCTTTCATCTGTCACCAGAGAGATCACCTACTCCTCTCCCTTTTCCCTTCCCTTTTTTTTAGGAGATCAGAAGCAGGCAAAAGTCAGGGCTAAAGTCAGGAGCCAGCAGGGTTTTGTGTTGCAAGATCAGCTCCTTACCTTTCAGGAGCAGCAAAAGTCATGCTGAAGCAAGATGTAAAGGCCAAGAGAGGAGGAAAAGGGCAGGTGGTGCTGGAGAAAGCTGCCCAATGCCTTTGTGCATCAAATACAGTAATTTCAGTAATTTTCTCAACCCTGGACAGGCATTCTTGTGCTAAAGGAGCAGAATGAATGGTGTCTGTGTTCCTTCTGCTGTGAGGACGTGGTTGTCTGAAATCAGGGATCTCGTGAACCTGTCTTGTATTGGGCTCCAAGAGGCTGATTTTGCTCTCCAATGCCAGACCATTTAATTTCCATGCCTCAGTTTCCCCATTGGTAAATGTAAGCACTGGAGCAGCAGACCCAGTTCCTGAGCATTGCCCAGACCTGAGGCTGCTGTCTGGGGGCTTTGGCCCCTGTGGACCTGGTGAGAGCCCTCCAGACCTGCTCCAGAGTTTGAAATTTCTCTGTTCCATCAAATCAGCCGTTTTGCATCAGAAATTTCTCTCTGGATGGTGCAGTGCTGATGGCAGCTTATGAAGTATGTGTGCTGTGGGGCTCCAGGTAAAGCTTTTTATACTAGGTGTTAAGTTGATGAGGACAGCAGGATAGATGTTTAGTTTATTATCAGTTTGTGTGTTACTGTTACCAGAGGGCTGCAAGCTGTACAGCTTATTACAGTTTAAGCTGTAGCTTAAGAGCAGCAGTTAAAATAATACCCAGTTTTCATAGATCTGTTTATCTCTGGATCTCTATTTGGACAGTGGAACTGGCCACTTAGGATCAGATCCAAAAAGGTACTTTAGTATCTGACTTATGCTCTGATGGAAATTAGAGGAGGGCTGGATCATAAAATACCTTTGTGATAGATCTGGCATTTTCTTGTAATTTCTGTTTTTCCATCTAGATCCGTCATATTCGGACTCACAGCAGGGTTGTGGGGAGAAAAGGGGAAGGAAATTTAAACTCTTCTTATTAACTGGAATGGAATGCCTTTTTTTTTCTTTTTTTTTTAGAAATCAAAAAAAAATAAAAAAGGGAAAGAAAATGCAATATTTACTCTTATTTACTCTTAAATGAGTGTGTTTGGGCTGGGGGAGAGTTGTGTTGGGAACTTCCCCTTCGGCTGCAGCCGGGGAAGGCAAGGACTTGTTCCCAGAATGGTGGTGAGGGCGTGGTGGTGGCGTGTTTGACAAATAAGGACATGAGCAAAGAGCCTTTTGCCACGTTGGCTTGGGCTCAGTTTGAAAGAGAAAGAAAACAAAGTTTTGGATGGGAAGAAAAATGAAATCACTGTTTGTCAAAGGGAAATAGATAGATCTGGGAGGGAGTGAGGCAGATTTTTATTATGTTTTTGACTTCTAGTTTCAAAACAGGCATCTGCCCAGGCCAGGGAAAGCCAAAGTGAAAAACTCTCATCAGTCTCCTCTCAAGCACCCTGTTTACTCACAGAGAGGGACCCTCACTGATGGCTCTGGCAATCTTTTCCTTCCTTGCCAGGCAGGGCTGCACAGCTGTGTGAAAAGCCAGTCCCTGTGCCATGCCCCATCCTTGTGAAGGCTGTCTGAGGAGTCATGGGTGCTGTGGCTTTGAAATGACTGGTTCTCTTCAAAGGGGAGGGTCAGAGCCCAGCATTTCGTGTTGGGGCAGGATCTGGGTGGCTCAGATGTGCCCCTCAGCTGCCAACTTGCCAAGGGCCACCATGGGAAAACATCCATTTAGAGATCTCCACTACTTACCTGCACATGCTGCATCTGCAGCTGGGTCTGATTTTCTTTTGGGATCTGAGATGCTGACACAGCATGGGAAGAAGAGGATTGTGTTGAGCTGGGATGGCACCTCTTTCCCAGCAACCCCAGCTGTTATCAGTGTGGTTTTTATTGACAGGCCACAAAACACTTGACAAAAGAAATACCACTCTCTTCCTGGCAAGGAAGCTGGAGCAGGGAAAGTGCTTTGCCTAGGTCATCAGGCTGACCAGTAGCAGGCTAAAAATAAGACTCAGATCTCCTGTGTACCAGAGCAATTCTGCCTGCTACATCCCAGAGCCTCATTACTGTAATAACTGCAAATTAATGACTAAACACCATCAGTGCCTGAACAGAGGAACAATTTGGGATATATCAAAGCAGATGTGAAGAAGTGGCTTTAGTTTGGGGGTTAAAGAAGGAAGAAATCGAACTTGGAATAATTGCATGAAGTGCAATATAAAGAATTTTAATATATCAGTTCTTGTTATAACCATTTATGTTTGGAGGGGCTGCAGGGCTGCAGCTCCATGGGCAGGGAACTATGCCCACATTCAGACCTACTGAACTTACAGGTGGTATCTTCCTGTTGTGATGTGCAGAAAATCAGCCAAAGGGCTCGAATTCCTATTGCCAAGGAGTTTTGGAAGGGGAGAAGATGAAGCGCGTTCTGGAGGCGTGCGAGGCTGTTCCGAGGGGACCTGTCTCACTTCTCCTCAATGCTGGGAGAAGGTGGGAGTGTGTTGATAGATGTGAGAAGCAGAGCCCCATCCTTGTTGGGGAAGAGGCTGCCAGGTGTTTCACTGTCTGGCTCTGCTCCCCGCGAGTGGCGGCGGCAGTGCCTCTGTGGGCTCTGACTCACCGGCTGAAGGAACAGCCAGGACACAGGAATTGTTTGGGGTTTTTTTTTCTTTTTTATTTTGTTTTTCTAAAATTTATTTCTGAATTTTGGGTGCACCTCTTGGCAAATAGCTGGGGAGGAAAGAGCATGAATTTTGCCAGAGGGGCGTGCTGCCTTAAATAGCTTGTCTCCTGTTCAGAGGCTGGGCTCTGCCTGCTGGTGCTGGGCTTGCTTTAAATCACCTGCCTTTTAATATGTGGAGAAGCAGAAAAGGCCAAAGAGAGCAGAACATGTGTTCAGCCTCCCTCTAGTGCTAGATTTTGT